AGCTGGTTCGTTTCCCTCCTCAACACTCTCTCTCACTACGACGATACCCCAACCCAGGTATATCCGAAATTGAAAACAGAGTCGTTTGGACTAGCATCGATCAATGGATTGCGTCGCCAAGTAGATGCGATGACAGTTCGTGTAAATGTAAATGTGGATGTAAAAGTGCTTGGTTACAAATAACAGGCCCCAAATTAGAGAACGGATTCCTTCATCCAAGGGCTCAGTTTTTCGTGCTAAATTTAAAAACAGGGAAAAGGTTTTTAGTACACCATGGTTTCGTATTTTTATTCACAAAACTAATTAATTATAGAAGGGAATTAGTTTTAGAAGAAACTCACTTCTATAAGCTTTGAAGCCATTTTGTAGCATTCCGTGCTTTCAATGACTTTTGTTTGTTTTCAAAGTTTATTCTTCAATAAGTTCAACGGAATAGAAAGAATGTAGGAGAAAGCATGAACAAATCCAGAGAGAAAAGAAAAATGAGTTCTAGAAAACTGAACTGGAAAAAAACTGCATTATATATACGAGCAGGTACTGATCGTCAGTCTAACACAATGTGCCAATTGAATTTTCATGAGCATTACTGTAATGCATAGGACTTATTAATTTTCAATGAGCTAAAACATAACTGGATTGCGTCAACTCATAATTTTGCTAGAAGGATAGGAAGACAAATCAGGGTAAGAAAGAAAAGAAAGAGGAAGGAAGAGACACATCTATTCAGATATAACGGGAAAACCGTGATGCTTTCATGTAATTGTTGAAGCCACCCTATTTTTATCTACTCGCGGAGAATATCCGAAACAGAAATGTGTGAAAGCTACGGAAAATTACTTCTAAGCAAGTAGCGCTGAACAAGTCAGTTGACCATCACAGCTAAGTTGGTCAAAGTGTAGTAGACAAGTTTTCTAGAAATCTAACGCATTCATCGACAGAAAAATTTCATCTACAAAATACTCTGTACCGTCACAACTATCTAGCGCGAAATTCTAACGTACCACAAGTTTCTGGATGATTAGAGCAAACAAACCAACTGATTGGCAGATGAAGGACTTCTCGATATTATATTCAGTTTAAAACTGATCGTAAAAGCCTTCCCTGTCGTTTTTCGTTCTTGAAAAATCAGGAAGCCGGGTAGTAGGAATACTATTATCGAAACACTACAGTACTACATGGAGGAGGACTTTTCAACGATACTTGTTCAGCCCATAACAAATTTCCTTATAGGGGGTAAACAAGTTCTGTAGTATGGTATTTTGCTTCCGTTTCTAATGGTTTCTTTGAAGGAGGCGACCAACTTCAGAAATTCAGGAAATCACAATTCCCCACGAGCAGTAGTACAAGTCTGAAGAAGGTGGTAGTAGCGTATTCGTCTGCAGATCCGCCAACGAAGTCACAACCCGCTGTACCCAATTACGGTGCTTCTCTAGCAGTTCACCGTATAGTTGCAGTTATACGCTGTGTGATGCAGAAAGGAAATAATGTATTAAGTTTTTCGTACGACTGATACCACTCACAAACATGTGGTATTCATCCACAGAATTATGAGCATAGGTCGCTTAGTAAATCATTCTTCGCTGTCTACAACCATTATTGGCATTTCGCACAAAGTAGCACAGTGTGCAACTGGAAGGGTCTACCTACTGTCATTTTAGAAAGCCAGTTTACGACGTGACCCCGATTTATGCTCGAGCAAATTGTCTTCTGGTTAGTAAGTGACTTGACGGTGAACGGCACCAACCTCAAGGGCAGCGCTTTTTTTGGTTTCATGCCATTTGGAGTGTCCTAGCAGATAGAGCAGGTCGCCTAGTAGACTGATAAACAAATCTTATTGTTACGACAAGGGCTAACATTGAGTCATTTTTTATGCCATCTTTGAGGAACGAATGCGCTAAATTACTTACCCCAGCATAGTTAATACCTAACTAACATGTAACTGATTCAGCAAAATTTTTGCTTGGAAACCTTGGAAACCCGGAAAAGGTCGCACCTAGATCACCAACACTAGAAATTGCTGACCATTCTGAACTGGAGACAGAATTCTTATCTTGCAACCGTATTCCTTACAGAATAGAAACGAACCATTGTGTTGGTAGCGAAGCTCCTTTAAGCGACCGACTAGTTAGTTTAGATATAAAACGAATTTAGAATGGTAAAACTCTCCGACCAACCTTTAAGAACACTACAAGGTACAACCTAGTGAACGATTCACCTGACTAGTTAATATAACCAATCGCTATTGATATTACTATGGTTATTCATTGTAAACGTAAAAGGTCTCATTATTTCATTATTTGATTAATAACGAATCTGTTCGTTCCTCGTTAATCAATTTACTTTCGTTAAGCTTTTCCAGTGACTGCTCTTTCACCTGAGTATCGTCATGGGCCCATTCTTGTACGTCTCCTGAATTCAGACATTCATAATTCTGCAGCGAGACAACTTAACATAAAATATAGGTATTGATTTTTGCCCTTCAGTTGGCACGCTTCGTGTTCTTTCAATCCTTGCAACATTTTAGGATGCTGTGGTAGTATTTATAAATATAATGCGTAAATGCCGAAAACCAACCATGGTCTCCTCGGTTAAAAAAAGAAATCCGATCATATTGCGCTTACTAAGATTGAGCTTCTTTTTAATTGGAATGACCGCAGTTTATCAATGCGTTGAAAGTGAGCAGAGAAAAAAGAAAATCATAGGCATGCGACAAGGCGATACTATGCACATCATAAATGACTAAAGTTTTCTTCTATTAACGAAAATATATTTTAGAAAAGATGCACCGTATGCAATCAATGTCTTAGAACCTCGTCACGGTTGGCAGCCGGGTTCGTTTTCTAGGTACGACCTATCATGCCGAAAAGAGTTAAAATTTCCATCCGGAAGCTCAGCTTACACAGTACCCAGTACTACGAACCGCCTCCGTTCTTGTAGCATCCTAGTTGCGAAGCTGCAAATCTCTATCTCGATTCACATATGCCGTTGATTGTTTCTGGTGGAGAACTTGGAATGCACTAGCGCGAAAAATTTTTGTCTTTTTCGTTTTCAGATAGAGGAGTTGGTTTTTTCCGATACGGATTCTTTTCTCACTGCTTCAGATAGTTTTTTTTTTGATCAAGAAGGAGAGGACGGACACGTTGAAACTTTAAAAAATAAACTTCTTATCAACCTCGTGTTTACTTAACAATCCAAAGAGGTGATAATTATCAATCTAGAAGTTAAATCAGAATCAGTTTTAAAAAAATCTTGGCCTTTTATGGGCGCTTAATAATCCAAGAAAGTATTGACTACAACCACCGTGGTTAAATGGCAGTTAGTCTGAAAAATATTGTTTCGCTAATCGCTGTGTTAGCTAACGTAAATTGCTGCAGGTTAGATAATGCGTTGAAAAACAAATTATTATCAACGTATAGTCATATCAACATCAACCATTTCGTATAAAAGAACGCTGTAGGGCGGGGGTCGCTCATTAGAGCGGTGCCTCACTGAAGAAGATCCGACTCGGTACGAGGACGAAGACACCACATCGAGAATGTGAACGACAGTGGTTGACTGGGATCATCGACTCTGATGAAGACGAAGGCGTTGAAACGTTAACGAAATAAAGTGTTAGTTTAACAATCCAAAAAGGTTCAAAGATAAAGGACCGAAGACGAAGGACCCACATGGTGTGGTGGTGATGTTCTTCCAGCTCCCATTTTGAAATTGATTCCATACTCCCATGCCTTCATTTATTGCTTTTTTTTCCTATTATAGAATTCCTTGCCTTTAACGTAGTACAGACATAACCTTTTACACTATCGCAAGAATGCCCTCTATCGTTTTGAAGGAATACTAATTACGATGCAGGAAACTTTTCGCTCATCAACAAGGCGACAGAGACTGCATGTGGTAAAGATTTGAGGACGTCCTATCACGGTGATTTTGGAATTCTAAGAAGCCTCAGTAACAGATTGGAGGACTTTCTGTGGATCACATGCTATATAGAGACGGATCACCACATTATTTTGTTTTATGCAGTTAAACGAATTAATGGTTGGCCAACATCGCGCTGTTAACCTGACCTACTCGTAAACACGGGCCATTGAAATATTCGAGTACTCAAGTAATAGTTATGCTTAGCTCTTCGCAAGACTTTTTCTTTCTATTAACAGCCCATCAACTGTATGAAATAAGTTTTTAATTTGAAGTTTTTAAACATTATGATAAAGTGCGAGAACTGTTTTTTTCTATGCTCACTGAGCATTTTGCAATCCAATAATACATTGATCTAATACAATCTAATATTACATTATTATTCGATGCTGCTGTATGTGAAACATCCGGAAGTATACTATGAATCACAATGTTTACTTTCAGGGTATTATGCAAAATACATGCACAACGGTGCTGATATATTTGCAAAACTCCGGACTGTAGGTGTATGCGGTGGGCAACGAATGCACTATTACCCTTTCCGGAGGCTAATGCGTTCTTCGTATTCTTATTGAGCAAACGCGAGGTGTTATTTTTATTCTATATTCACGAATAAGCTGACGTTTTGGCGGATTTCGTTTTCCTCAGAACCTGGAAAGGTCAAGTTGACAGCAATCTATTCGGCCAAACACCTCCATAACCAAACAAAGAAAACGCTAAACCAAGATTTCAATCACATTGAACACAGCGTTGCACACTCACCGCTTTCTATCAGGCTTCCACCAAGTATATCGCGTGAAGACCATCTAACGCGTTCACCACCACCCACACAAGTCCTTCATTTTGCCTTACGTTTTTCCGTTTTTCCAATCTCGCTGATGAGTGATTGCTGATAGCACTGGTAGATGGAAAGCTAGTGGAGAAATGGCCGTGAGACCCGAATTGTGTAGTGGTGATTGCTTTAGCCCCCGGAAGGGGTAATAGCGCGTTCGTTCCTCACCGCAGACAACTGCGGTCCGGAGTTATGCAAAAATCTCAGCATCGCTGTGGTTATACTATGAATTTTTATTTAAATAAGGTGGTCAGATAAAGAATCTCTGTTTTAAGAACATACCTGAGCCGAATAAAAGGAAAATTGTGCCGGAGAAGACATTCATCAACGCTACTGTACAGAAAAGAATTTTCCATTCAGTGAGAGTGCCCTAAACACAAAATTGAGCACACAAGTACCGTGCATTAAAATTGTAATGCGCTTGTAAAAAGATTTAAAGCAATAGATATGACATGATTGCTTTTCACATTCAGAACTACTTTTTGTATTGCGATGTGTTATCAGGAACACGATTGAAAACAGTGTGTATGTGGAGGAAGTTGATCTTGTCACTCACTCAGGAGTGAATTCATTTATACAGTCATAGATGGCAATCATGCTTCATGAAAGAGCTTTGAGAGAAGTATGGTAAAAGAAATCGTGTGTAGTCCAGTGGTTGGAGATGCCCTACAGAGCACATTCAGTTTTTGTTCGATCCCACAACCCGAGTAAACCAGTGCCTCCATTCTATTGAGGCCTGCGAATTGTTACCGCACTTGCATAGGAAAGCGGAAATCAGAAGTATTTTAATTTTATAGACTATAGTTTTATTGTGTAACAACATGAATGCTTAATCGTTAACGACTCAGTTTTTGAGAACACAGAATGTGCGTAAATGAAGTAGAAATTTTTGGAGGAATGACAACAATACAAATGTCAACTGTTCACTAACCGTCTTCTTGATGAATCCAACCAGTGAAGGTGTACACAGACGTCCGAGCATACCAACGGATAACGACACGGCCGACATAGTACTGGTATAACGAGGTGCCAGTGACAACAGTGAAGTGTAGAATCCACTCGTGAAACCACCCATTGTCCCATACCTAAAGATAACTTTTGAAATTAAGAACCAAAATGTAGAATGTGTTCAAGAATGACTGGTAGAGCTGTTTTCACTACATCTTCGAGATTTTATTTCTCATTCTCTCCGCCAGCTTCACAATTTGTAACAGAACACGAAGCAGTAGAGACTAATATGCTAATAGGTAGGTCTGTTGGGAAACAAAGTCGGATTTCGACTTCCATTTTTTGAGTGGTATATTTCTTTCCCACATTTAGAATTTGTTGAAAACATGTTTTATATTATGGATAAACTATACGAAACGAAAGTAATGAGCTTTGCAAAATTATATAACTGTCCAACGTTCTAATAAGAATTATTGTTAAAGTACAAAAAAGCTAAAGCTCTTGACGTTGATCAATACCTGAGGGATGCGCCATGCATTCGACTTCATTAAGTATCGATGGAGGTGATTGAATGCATATCTGGTCTGTACGATGACTCGCGGGGACCTACCAGTGTATCGACCCAGTGCTGCTATTCTCCCAGACAAGTCTGCCAGCAATTTGCCGAGTCCAGAGGCATGGAAGGCTTGGCGAGCCATGGGCGGAGAGGTCGACTCCATTTGTGTGTGTCGCAGTGGCGCCTCCAACTACTGCGCCATATGCACCCCTATTGTTAAAGTATATACAGGGAAAATGAAATTACGAATCCAACATTGACTTTCGACAGATCCAATGGTAAGCAGAAAAAAAGCTCGCTTTTGTGAGATAAGGAAGGACAAGCGACTAAACAGATTGAAAGGAGAACCGCTTAGAAAAAGTACGCTTAGAAAAAACTGAAACATGAAAATAATAACGAATAGATATGGACTTACATAATACAGAATAGCGCCAATGCCAAAACTGGCGTGGTACAGTCAACGAATATCACTACCATGGCGAACGACAAGGCACTTCCGAAACTCGCTGGAATCAAATCACCTACGGAACAAAACTTCTTTTAATTGAAAAACGCTTTCAGTTTAAAGTTTTTTTCTTGATTTTGAAGCGACAATTTGCATACGTGGAATGCGTGCAGCCCAGTGCTTAAAGGCGCTTTGCAATACAAATGTGTTCGATCCCGCGCTTCAGGCCCGTCAAGCTTTCCACTCTTCTGTAGTCAGCAAATTGGTACCAGACCTGTATCCAAGAATAGCAGCACGGACTCGATACATCAGTAGGTCACCGCGAGTCATTGTAAAGGCCAGTTATGCATTCAATCACCAAAGAATGCTTAATGAAGTCGAATGTATGGCGCATCCGTCAGGAATTGATCAACGCCAAGAGTTTTATCCTTTCATCCTTTAAAGATGCTTGATGAACTCGAATGCGTGGCGTATCTCCCACGGATTGGACGAAGCCGTAAGCTTTATTTTTTCTATCCTTATATGTGAGGTGTCGTTGAATTATGAAAACCATCGTCGACTTGACAGGTTTTTGTTTCATCGAAGTTCAATTTGCGTATTATATTCTGAAGTATTTCGGTTAACGGATGATTGGTGATGGCTCCGTTAGGGTGAAAAAATAGCTAGACAGAAGAGAAGACTAGAAGACAAATGGTAAGGACATGATGGAACAAATATGCACGAGCCGCACCACCTCGACCAATTACGATTTCAGGATAAAAAATCGAATGGAAGACGTGCTAAGGCTAACACGACAAGTGACGATTGGCGTAAGCATTTTGTGAGAAAGCATTCATTTTTAAGGCTAAAATTAATATGGACGTAATATTTTTGTTCTCTTTCTTGATAAGCTTGCATGAGGTTGATAAATATATTTATTTTCGGCTAACGTTTCGACGTCTTCGTCTTCCTCAGAGCCGATGAGCCTCATTTGAGAAGATGGCTCACTGAGGAAGACCTGGCTCGACACGAAGGCGAAGCTGCAACGTCGAGACGAACAACAATCATGGACCATCGACTCGGATCATCGGGTCTGAGGAAGACGAAGACGTCGAAACGTTAGCCGAAAATAAATATATTTATCAACCTCGTGCAAGCTTATCAAGAAAGAATGCATATTGATTAGTCACACCGAGGTTTAGAAAAAGTCGGTTTCGAAATATTATTTTTGTTCTGTTTAGAAGCTTATTAGTTGGGGTTAAAGCAAACAAAGTGTCCATTCATTTCGGCTAGGCGCGAGTTAACTCTTTTTTAACTCATTACAACCAAGGCAAGCGCATCTTTGCACACCACGAGTATCACACTTTTCGTACAGCGCTTTCGCTTTATAAATACTGTTCCTGACAACATGAATATCGCAAGTGGAAGGACCAGAAATGCATTGCTCTAGAATGGGCGCGAAGATTATTTTCAATAGATTATTTCAACATGTTCGGGGTCCATACTCACAGGATTTGCCCATCAATTGTACTAGAAAATCCGCTAACTAGTGTCGCGACTAATTTTCCTGAGATCTTGGATTTAAACTTGCATTTCTAAAGAGTTGCAAAAAATTTTAGACTTTTGCGGACGATGAAGTCGTTGGGCGCATTTTCAACCTTGGCTTGGTTTCTGAAAGATTTCTTAGTATAGTCAATTGTCGAAGAACTTAAGGAAGTGGTAGTCGGCAGATTAAGTGTTTAGCTAGTATGGTCGATTACTCAGGGTTTCGTAGTCCAGCTCGTTCAACTTTTGCAATGACGGTTGTGCATCGTGAGGCCGCACCACGTCGCGGAGAGGGATTGGCGCTTTCTGTTTACCAATAAGGGACATAACCGCTGAATCGCATTTCGTCGATTTTTTAAACGTATTTCTGCGCCGTGAATCGTTTCACCCAGATTCAGGCAGCTATGGTGAATGAGACCAGGGGTTAAACATCAAACAGTCAGCACACCTTTTTCTGGAGCAGTTTCGGATTGGTGAAGTGATGCGGGGCTTCGCACGGTCCATTGTTGGCCGCCTATTACGTATGATTCACTACTCCTTAGGCATCACAATGCGGTCGACAGGCAGGTCGGTTTGGTTGAAAAAGAACCGAAGATACCACAAAACGGCGATTTCTCCGATTTCTTAGATTCTTATGCTGTCACTCAATTCGTGCGGCAACCATTTGTCGAGATTCTTCGACTTCTCAACTTTTTTTTAGGTGATCCAAAAACAACTAAAGTACTTACACAAAGTTTTTTTGAAATTTTCGAAGGGTTTTTCTTGCATTTACCTCTACTAAACCCTTCAACTAATCGTCGTCGTTAGCAAACGGAAGTACGTGTGCTCCTCATCCTTGAGATCGACTTCGCCACAGCAAACTCTTTTAAATTGATGGTGAACTCAGCTTCCGTTAATATTTTCCTGACTTTGTATCTCACTAATGTTTCGAGCCTACGTCCGAGAAGGGCTGCGCTACGTCCGAATTTGAAATAATTAACGTAAATTTCTCGACACCACTATTACAACTTTTAACCTGTAGAATCTGCCAGAAATTCCATTTACATTATAATTAAACTTCAAGCGAAAATGCTTAAAATTGGCTTTACAATGGTATATAGTAATACAGAACTTGAATAACGCCTTTGCTAGAAGCTGCGCGAAAAAATGAAATTACAAACCGGGTCTTAATTTCCGAAGGAGTTAGTAATTTGTTAGCCATAATCAGTTAGTCGCGGCTCGAGTTTGAAAAAAAAGACTAGGTATAGATCACAAAGAGCTCTAACCAAAAAGTGCAGCTATTGAAAATACCTGGAATCTGGTACTGCTTGAAGGCCCATAATTTTACTTACTGTAATTTCTCTCCTTCCTACGTTTTACCGCCTCATCCTGGTTGGGAGGTGTTCGTGGGTGTCGGACTGCGATGTACAGAGGGGGATTCGTCCCCACGGCAGGGTCTCCCAATCTTAGAAGGAGTCCAGAGTTTCCATCAAAAGGCCTAGCTAAGAGTAAACCAATACCAGTGTCCACCATCGTCCTGGTATCAAAGTCGCATGGTGGTACCCTCTGATCCACAAGGATGCGACTGCTTGTCGTGGTAGGGCAGACTTTGGCCAGGCTGCCCTCGGGATTCCAGGGAACCACAATGGCTTAACCAACAAATGTCCGAAAAATGGTGATTATGTTTGGGCCCGCACAACTAGTGAGGACGGCGACGTTTAAGTAAGTAAGTACTGCGGATGCGGTAGTCGTAAAAACAGGAATGAACTAACCAACAGTTTGCGAAAGTCGAACGGCAAAAGTTGGAGTGATGAGTTTCTTCACTTTCAATCGATCCATCAGCATGCTCCACATAATTTTACAGAAAAAGTTCACCAGATTTGGCAACGCAGCAAATGTACCATTCTGAAATGGAAACAAAGAAATTGTAATAAATTTAAACGGGGATCTTAGAACGAACTGACTCGAAAAAATAGTTATCAAGAAGCTGCAAGAAATGCAACTACGATCCTATAAACTTACAGCTATCACACCCAAATAAAGCACATCCTTTGAAAACGATGGCATGTAGAAGTGGAAGAGGGTGATGGTAATGTTGGTTATGAAATAGCACAGTAACTGTGCAAGGAATGGCGGTGATGTGAACATTCGAACGTAAATAACGGATCTAGCTTTCTGAAACGATCGCAATTAATACTATCATTTTCCATCAAGAAAAAAACAAAGAAAACACAGTTGGCAAGATAAAGCTGAAGGGATAAAGCTCTCGGCGTTGATCAATCCCTGAGGGATGGGTCATGTATTCGAGCTCATTAAGTATCGTTTAGAGGTGAATGAACGCATATCTGGCCTTCACAATCACTCGTGGTGGCCTACCGATGTATCGAGCAAGTGCTGCTATCCTACCAGGCATGTCTGGTAACAATTTGCCGACCCCGGAAGGATGAAAGGCTTGGTGGGCCATGGGTGCGAAGATCGATTCCACGTGTGTGTTGGAGGGCCACCTGCGCCACGGTTGGCAAGAAGAATAATTATTCTCTTCATCGTTGCTAAGGAAATACGAGGTATCACTTTATTCTTTATTGACGGTAACGTTGACGTTTCGGTGGATTCCGTCTTCTTCAAAGCATGGAAAAGTTAAATTGTGTATGATCTATCTACCAAAATATCTCCACAACCAAAGAGAGAAGGTGCTAAGCCATAATTTGAATTTCGTTTCTCAAAAAGAAATTATTTTGTTTTTAATGTAATTAAAATCTCGGTTTAGCATTTTCTTAGTTTGGTTATGGAGGTGCGTGGCGGTTAGACTGCAATCAATTTGACCTTTCCATGCTATGAAGAGGGTGAAATCCGCCGAGTCGTTAGCATTGCCTTCAATTAAGAATAAAGTAAAATCTCGTGTTTGCTCAACAAGAATATGGCTACTTATTTGATCAATATGGTGGTTAACAGAAAGTCGATCGTGGAAGTAATTATTACTTTTTGTTTATTTCATGTGACACAAAACTGAATCGATGGGTTTGAAGGTGCTGGTTTGACCCCAACCCAAATGCTCTTCTCTCTCCAGTCAGACACGTTGGAACGCCTTAGCTCGCCTATCTCCAAGATTGCAAAAAGAATTGACTCGAAAAAGCATTCCACTACATTCATAAAAAGGACGAAATCTTCAAGCAGTAACCGAAATAACACGCGTAGTTTTCGAAAATCTCAATGGATGATCAATGGGGGAAACGAATGAGTCCAAGAAATACTTGGATCAGCAAAGTGGCTGCGATAACGAGACATAGGAGTAATAGTAATTATATGACCCAACACTACATATTGTGAATTCCAACACTTTCATCGTTTCCTCGCATTTTTCATCCACAGCGGCCTTCGGATGTGGGTGTTGGTTCAGCTAAGCGCTTACACCTTCTGTATGGATCTCACTAAATGCTGGTTCAGCAAACTCCTTTTGGAGTTCTAGGAGCGTGCGTTGGGCCGTTCCTAGATCTTTCACCACAGACTAACCTTCGTAGATATTACCCAGCTTTCCCCCAAAAGTCTGGTACAAAATCACTGACCTCGGAGGGAGGTGGGCTTGCTTGTCCCGGTGAGGAGTCAAACTCCGTCGTTGTGTGTTCAAATGCAAGGTATCTCACGGTATCTCTATAACTGTACTACGCGTGACGGCCTCTATCACTACAACAACGAATATTCTTCAGTCGAATGGCTTTTGGAACAAAAAACTGCAGTAACTCTCAAGTCCGACTTTCTATTAACCTCGGCATTGATTGAATAATTCTTTCTACTTCTGTTCAGCAAACACGAGGTGTTACTTAATTTCTTTGTTTACGTACAAGCTGACGTTTCGGCGGATTTCGCCTTCCTCAGAGCCGCTTTC